GTTTTGGTAATTGACCTTTTTCCACGGGATTTTTACTCGAGATTTATCGCGCGCAATTATAATGCGGGTTAATTACTCGTATGCTTATACGTGTATCTATATTAGAGGAATCTGCATACGCTAATCGATCGCCCACAGGCATTCAAAGGTTGATCGTTGGCGCGTTTACTGCTGCAGAGCTTCTTCGATTCTCTTCTTCCGGTACGGCTAAACATCGAACCGCGTGCAAATATCTGCAAGAAATGCGAGATTTCTGGACTTTGTCACCCAGAAAGAGAAAGAGCGCGGGTACCTGAGCCCTTTCCCCGGAAAGTCGAACGAGGGGGCTCCAACGGGATACGTCTAAACATCGAACCGCGTGCAAATATCTGCAAGAAATGCGAGATTTCTGGACTTTGTCACCCAGGAAGAGAAAGCGCGCGGGTACCTTAGGGTACCATAAACTAAGCCCTTTCCCCGGAAAGTCGAACGAGGGGGCTCCAACGGGATACGACGCGGAGAGGACACTCTGGAAATAGCCGCCGAGCGAGACACCGAAGCACTTAGCAGTCGCTTATCACTATACTTTAATACATTTTTGGTTAATACCCTATCCTGTGTTAAATTCACTTAAGTTGTGCTGACAAATCAGAAGTGGGATCAGAATTGCGTGCTAGACGATAACAGTGCCGAAAACGTGTGAACAAGATGAGTAAGGGAAGTGAATCCGTCGCACGCCCGAGGGAGGAGCGCGAGCCCTCTGTAGAAGACTCGCGAAGACGGAGGCAGAAAGACGATTGTGGTGCGCGAATCGCGCGGTTGGAACGTTTGCTCGAGGACAGACTTCGTTCGCGACAGCGGTCGCGATCGGGGACGCGTCGGCGTTCGCGGATGCCGACACGCCCGCGGACACCGAAGCACTTAGCAGTCGCTTATCACTGTACTTTAATACATTTTTGGTTAATACCCTATCCTGTGTTAAATTCACTTAAGTTGTATCCTTCGCTTGTCTGTACATTAGAATTCGTTTTTAATATCCAATTAGCGTTCGTTACATACTGTGCAACCTCTTCGGTGAATCTTGCTAATGTCGAAAGAAGGTGTGCGTACTTCGAGGATCAATCTAAGTTGATCTAACCTGATTTAATTATCCTTATACACCTACGAAAGGTTTTAAATCTAATTAGAACATGTTGGAAATGGGTTCTGAAATGAAATAGTCTTTTCATCTTTTAATAGACTATTTATTAACGGACTCAGAGGAAACGTCGTTACTCTTTGGAATGTTCTAAAGGACTGTACCTGGGCAGCCAAAAAAGAAAGTTGGGGTCCGCTTATACCTAGGAACTGTTTACTTTATGGTATCGCAGTGTGCAGTGACTCGAAGACGGACACCAGACACATCTGATGGAAGGCTTAGTGCCTTTGTTTAAAATAACGCGGAGACATTTTTGTCCTCACTTGATTATTTCCATAATTCGAATTTTTTAAATAAGTAAGAGAAAATTGCAATATTAAATTTTCCTCCAGATTACTCAATCGTAACATCTTTAATACGTTCACCGGACTCAGGACAGATAGAACTCGTCCACATACACACATTTTTCTTTAAATTAGTTTCATATTCGCCTCGTTATTTTTTATGCAAGGAAATTGGTAGCATTTGTCAATATCGGTGAAACGGTGTAGATTTCAAGGTAACCCATTTTTTCATACAGAAACAAATCTACCTTGAAATTATCACGAAAATACTGAACCTAAAAGAGCGTTATGCAAATGTAAGTTAAAAACGGTCAGGATAACGGTGGTGAGCGGTGGAATAAAATATCAACGTGGGCGGTTAAACAGGGTGAATCCTTGTATTTTGAACTATACTGCACGAGTGCTGATACAATTCTGTCCTTCCTGAAAAACTAGTCAAGAGGACCCCCTTGGCAATATGGCCTTCCTTAGCCTTGAGGCAGAACTATCCCTAGGAGGGGGAAACGCAGCAGAAGACTGCACATGGCCCACTCAAGCCTTCGCTTTTTGGACTTTTCTAACACAAATCTAAAGAATATATCCGAAGAAAGAGTTTTAAATGAATTTAACACCTTCTCTACCAAGCGTCGCACCTCTGTGACGCACCAATCGTGCAAAATGCACAAGTTGAGTATTTAATAAATAAATATTCGATGTGCATAAGTGCATTCATCCGTCGTATCATGTAAAACTGATAAAAACATACATATTAAGAATGTAAATGAAAATAATTGGAAGAATAACTTGCAGTAACAAACGTGTTAACTTTGTACTCCTACTCCTTACACACTGAACGTGTAAAACCTTCCAAATTGCGACAAAGTGCCTGCAAACACCAACCTTCGCCACCGCCTTGTACCTTCCATCACGCTCCAGAAACGTACCCCGTCGATTTATCGTCGTCCGCGTCAATTAAAATATATGGGCCACACGGTGCGAAAGGAAGAACCGTGGCCGTTCGTCTGTTGTTTCACATTCATAAACGTCCGCTCCGCAAGACCGTCGATCGTCGCCCGAAGCCATCGTCATCCTCGTCGTCTTCTGCTGCCCTCCTCTCGAACGAACGCGGCAACGGAGGGAGATTCTCTTTCCTCCGGAGTCGCGGCGAGGACCTCAACGGCGACGAAGAGGACGCGGATTGCTCGACGACCTCCTCGCGGAGCGACGAAGGAAGAAAAGGCTCTCCTGCTGCTCCATCGGGTTTCGCGTGGTCCCCGCGGCGATGCTGGTACACCGCGAACAACGAAGAGAGGAGGAACGGTGGAGGAGGCGGTTGGAGGAGGTGGAGGAGGAGAAAAGAGAAACCAGTCCCCTTGGCCTTACCTTCGTCCCCGTCGACGTCGCAAGGAACTCTGCCGGCTCAGAGGCTGAAAATAAATATCGCCACGACGACGAGAACCTTCTTTTCCTTCTCGAGTTTCGTGGTTGATGGTACTTACTCCAGCCGGGTTCTTTAATACCCCCACGATACACAGCCTCGTATTTATTGGTGTTTATACGGCGGAGGTTAACGTTACCAAGCCGCGTAATGATTTATGCCGGCGAGGGCAAGCCTGGACTCGATCCTCTACGTACGAATCCAGTCGACACGAACACACACACACACACATACGGGGGGAAGTTGGATTTTGCAGGATCCTTGATGCGATCGAGTTTGATGGATTTAGTGGTTGGAAATTGTCGATTTTCAGGTGTCGTTGCTGAGGATTTATTGCATTTACGGTTTTTTAAACTGTATTTCATGAAGGCGAATTTTATTGGCAGAGATTTTGGAGACGTTGCTGTTATACAGGGTGTAACTAAAGATCTAGGAATGAGATTGCAAAAATGTTTAATTCGTGTACTGAATGAGGATTCGTTGAATCTATGAATTTTCAAACTAATTTTATGAAGGTTTTTACCGCGAGGTTTTTCTGAGGAATTGCTCCTATGTAACTAAATTTCTAGGTTTCTGTTTTTAATCATTTATTGTGGAGGAATCAAAGACAGTAAAAAAGAAAGCTTAACACCTACTAACATCTCTATCTCGTCCCCAGGAAAAACTTGGACTAAGGGACAGAGTAAATAACCAGCCACACAGATACCCACAAAAGATACTAAAGATGTAAAACGTACAACCCACTAGACGTCTATCTCAAGAACTCTCTCCAACCTCTGATAACACACTAAACCATCAAAGTAGATTTCACCCATAAATTCGTTAAGCCGACATTTCACGCTTTCAAATATCTCCAAACATACTTGCAAACGAAATCGCCATCTACCGAACGACCAAGCACCCATACACACAATCCCCTACAAACCTCTCCTTGGAAGAGCGAAAGATTTAAATCCCATTGAACCCGAACAGAACCTCCGCAAACCGCTCTCCTCTCACCCTACTATCCTCAGCAACACTTTTCCCTCTACGAACCAACGCCGCCACCAGAATCGCAGAATTCGCAACGAAAGCACGTATCGTCATCCGAACCGGAAGGATACCGCGCGGCGCGGAACGTTTCGTCGAGCCTTTTGGAACAAAGCGGGCAGGAACGACGTTGTGTACACAAGCCTGGAAATGAGTCCGGGGCTCTCTCTCTCCTGACCGTTTCGAACCACGACCATCCCTTCCACTTTTCACGTTCCTCGGTACACAGAACCCCCGACGAATCGCGGAGTTTGGCTATCCCTCGGCGAACCAGCCTCGTTAAATATTGTTCCGCCGTTAATTGCCTTATTAATACATATGAAAATCGCTGGACGGTTCCCCGTGCGCTGTGCACAGCACCCCGTGGTTCGGTCCGTTGCGTTCCAGGTCGCGGCGACTAGCCTGGAAAGCAATGCCCGTGCTAAACCAGCGTTATCGTCGCCCCGCGACCAACCGTGAGGATCGATAAATTAAATTCAACCTAGTGTTGCGGTGGCCGCTTGAAATCGCACCGCGACCTCGTTAGAGGGAAAGTTCCGCGCTAATGTCAGCGTGTGCGCGCACCGCTTGACTTCTAAACGGCTGCTGGTCAAATTTCTAGCGGAACGCTGGAGGAGAGAAAAAGAACACGATGCTTGCACGCGTGAGTTTGTAAATTAGGCGAGCGTGACGCGTTTTAGAGGAGAACGCTGCCACTTTCCCTGTTTTTCGGCTGGTGAATCGGGTGAAATCCGTGGAGAAGCGATCGGAGGGAGATTAGAGTGAGGAAGAAATGGGAGAGAGGAGGGAACTTGTGATATTGATACCTCTGATTGGAGAAAGCTTGACTGAAACGTGTTATCGCCGCGTGTATATGCAACGTTTTGGACCTAATTTCTTTTACTTATTGCTGCGTTTATTTTGCTGCTTTTGTGAAGCAACGTTCTCCTTTGAGAGATGGTTTCGGTAGGAAATGGGGATCGTTTAGTAATTTGCAGCGAATGTGTCTCTTTTTATGGTTCAATTTGAATGTTACCTGTGTCACTTTTGATAGTATTATTTAAAGGGTACTTTATGACGTTACATTACGTGGACTTTTAATTGCAGACGGAAATGTGAGGCCGACGGAAAGGAGGCGAAGGCAGAGCTGGCACAACGCAATATGTTCCCTAGCGCTCAAATTAAAATGAGGTAAATAGAACCACTCTCTAGTCGTGTTCTTAAAGAGCAACGCGTAATGTACCGTGGAGCATCGAGAAAATGATACACCTCGTTGCAATTGAAATTCTTCAACGTTACGTAAACTCCCGGTGATTCTTCGCGATACATTACGGGAATTACACAGTCGCGTGGAATCTGAACAACGGAAATTTCTACTGCTCCTTTGCGGTACCGATACACCAATTTGCAAATTATAGAAAGTACTTAGGAGTGACTAAGTGTCGCTGAGGGAGAACGATGGGGATTTGCTCGAGAAAATCCGGCATTTCGCAAATATGAAATTTCAAATCCAAATTCAAATTGAAAAATTAAAACTGAAATGTCCAAATTTAGGCACTCAAATATCCAGATTTATGAATAAAAATATTGAAATTGAAGAATTAAAGTATTCAAATTGAAAAATTTAAATTTAAAGATTCAAACTGAAATTTAAAAATCAAATTCGAATTGAAACTTGATCTCGATATCTGGTCCCACGTTAATTCGACGTTTCTCGTCAAATTTCCAAGAATACCGAGAGAGTCGATTTCGAATATCGTCCTCCGCTCGCGCTCCCATCGTTCCTCCACAAGCCTCGAAGCGACGTCTTCGATGCCTGGTAGACGGAACAGAGCCTGACGGTGGCTAATGTCGAAAGTATCTTTGTCAGATTGCTGTCGCCAAGCAGTTCGCCGGCCACGTCGCCCACAATGTCGAATTCCTCGTCGCCGACGCCACAGACGCCAGCCACGCCGGCTTACAATCAGAAGATGACCGGAATACCCTGCGTGGCCGCCGCTTCCAGGTACACGGCGCCGGTCCACATCGACGTAGGCGGCACAATATACACGTCCTCGCTCGAAACTCTCACCAAGTAAGTACAATACACGCACCCTTTGAAATTCATCGGAAAACCTAAAAAGCTAAAACGTCATTCCTACAATTTTATGGAAAGTTCGACAGCCAATTATTATTCTTAATTAATTACACGGAAAAAAAGAGAAATCTGCTATAACGACTGCGTATTCTCGCGGGAAAGTTGAAATCGTCTATAATTTGAATAATAAATCTTAACTTTATATACAAAAAGCGACGGCGATAAAATTGAAATGTGAGAGAAATCAATTTTAACATCACATCTTCGTTTTCCACGAAAACCAACCGCGTACCTGCGCAAAGATTGTTCCCCTAAGCCGACGAATAGAGACGCTCGAGTGTAGAAAGGGAGCGTGATGTCCGGATCGCGGAAACGTGACCATCGACAACGCTCCAGGATGTTCGTAGTCAGGCAATATCTCAGAGAACATATCGTTCGCAATCAGGCACACCGTTACCATACCCGACAGTGTCCAACGGCTATTTGCGGTTTACCCGTACACTTTATGCATAAAAGAGACGTAACGTGAAAGCACAACCGCACTTTACGCCACGAAGAATGATCGATAGAAACCGTGCAACTGTCGCAAAAATGTCCCCTCGAATCCCAAGCATTCGATGCAACTAATCATCGATTCCACCGGTCAATTCGATTCAACGTTTACACAGGCACGCGCACACTTGTTCAACGTCTTACAAACCACATCTTCGTTTCGTTTACCATCTGTTGCATAGAAGCACGTGGCTCATAGATCGGATCGATCGAAGACGTAATAAATTACCGTGACGCGATGTCCATCGTGTTCGACGTTAATAAATATCGATTTCACTACCCGAATCGCCGCGTTTCCGCTTCGTTTCTACCCGCGTAGCACAGTGGAACGCAGAAATGTCGCATCCGATACTGTTACACACCGGCTCGGTTCGTCGCGGCGATATTCATGGTTGCTCGTTACAGTCCACCGTTCGTACGCTAACTAACTCAGACGTGGATGGATACCTGCAACGGTCGGAGTGTTGTTCGACTAAGAGAATCGTTAGAGTTCCCGGAGGATGAATCTGAAGGGAAACCGCGGTAAAGTTAATTCTAATTGGCAACCGGCGAACTCGGCCCCTGTTACCGTGGCCCCGCGTCGTTAACGGAATCGTTAACCGAGTCACTGGAACTCCCCGCTCTCCGAGTCGCGGATGAGCAACGCGAAGATTTACGACCCCGGGTCCCGTTAGGCGAACCGAGGCGTCTCGAACAATGGACAACCGCGAAACGCAACATAGAAAATCACTTCTTCTCTGACGATCCTCCACCCACGCGTACACGTGATATTTCAATCGATCGAGAGATTCCATTAGGTCAACTATAACTGAGAGAAACCGCCTATGGTGTTAGAATCAATTAATCGATTCCCCTCCAATTTATATCAATTACAAGATACAACGTCTCTGATAAAGCGAGGAAAGTCGAGATAAGAGAGCTGACAGTGTATGCGCGTGTGTCTATTAAGAAAGGAAGAAGAAGGGAGATAAACTGGATTTTATTCTTGTCGCGAGTCCTGTTCTCCTCCAGGTTTAATCGAGCCCAGCGGAGCGTGGTAGGACCGTTTCGAATCGATCCATCGGCTAGACGTATTCGTTTCACTCGTTCGACGATTTTAATCGGGCGAGAAGGAACGCTGTGCTCGGGAGAGATTGTAAACGACACGTGAGGATAAGTGTCGCGACGTGACGCAGCCGCCGCGTCGGTGAAAAGTGGCAGGAGAAGCGGGTCCAATCAAGCCTCTGGATACTGGTATCGTAGAGAACAGCCTGTTCCTGCCAGTCTCTCCCCGCTGTATCCTTCCTCGGTCACGCTCGATCGCACCTCTTCCTCCTTCATTACACGCGGTCGACCTTATTGTTTTGTCGAAAGTATCCCGAGTTTGCCGTCTCCGCTCGATCCTATCGAACGAGATAGAGAAAGACGGGAAGAAAATGGCGACAAGGTCTGGCCACGCGTGGTGAACGCTAAACGATCGAGAATTGTGCGAGTCCTTTTCTGTGCCACCATGTTACACGTTACACTTTCTTTTTGTACCACTTCCCTCCCCGGACGCTTTACCTTGACTTTTTCTACTTGTACAATGGTGATACCAGGCGTGGAGGTTTGTTCGAACGAAATTGTCCGGATCGATTGCTTCTTTTAATTGGACTTTATAGAAAGTACGGTGTAGAGTAACTGCTTGTCGGTTAATTTGAAAAGAAAAAGTCAACGGGAGTAATACATATCGTCGGTAAGATTGAAACTGAATTAATAAGAAGGAAATGAAGGAATTTCTTTCTTTTTTTTTTCCCGTTGCTACTCGATCGAGTTAAATCGAGCTGGTCATTTCCTGGTCTGGTCATCGAGTACACTTTACATACGTTTGCGAGAAAAAAGCGTAACGGCGAAAGGTAGTAAAAGTCTCGAAGCATAAAGTATTGTATGATAAGCGAGTTGCACCTTTCACCCATTAAAACTCGGGGTAAATCGCACCTGAAACGCTCGACTCGGTTTAATTCAACGTCGTAACGCTCGAAACGGTTTAATGAATCGCAACTATGCCGATGGTAAGAGATACGTAGTCGACGAATTGTTCGTTGGAAATTGTTCCAACGCTTAATTTCTCGTTTAATTTCATTTTTCCCTTTTACTCTACTTTGCCTGCTTCCTGTCTACCTTATTTTGCATACAAACGAGTTTACACTCGATGAGAAATAAATAAATGTCCGTACAGTTGGCGGAGTGAATTTTATAATTGATCGACGTTAGAAAATTTGGAAAAAGTAACTTTTACGGGTGATATTAATTTTCTTGGGAGAGACGGGGATCTTTAGTTCTGATCGGAGGAGATTGTCGATGGTAATGGAAGAAAAGCGATATTGAAACGGTGCAAAAAGGAGCCCGACCTTCCGCGTTTCCCCGTGTTACTCACGAAATTGATTTACGCCAGGTAAATCATCGTCGACGTGTAACGGCATCGGTGAAGATCGCATCGAAGATAGTCGTTTCTCATGGCGGGACACCTACGAGGATTTATACACGGTTCTTCGTGAAACGAACGACAATGGACAGGGATAATAATAATGATTGCGATGGTGGATAGATAAGCTTACAACCGCAAGTAAGTTAGCGGGGATACGTTCTCGGATACTGGCTGGAAACAGTCACTAAATCAAGCTACAGTGAAAATGGACAGTGGAAATAAATATACGTGCACGTAATCCTTACATTACGGTATAAAATATTGCACGGTGAGGCTGCTTTCTTCGGTCACGTCACGAGCCCCATGCTAATTGTAATTAAATGCTGGATACGTTAAAAATCAGTTTGAGAATTGTTGGAAAATTCAGAAAAATCTTGGAGGTTTCAATGTTTAATTTCTAAAAAAAAATCTGCAACACGCTTCGATGTAAAAAGGAAGAAAGAAAGGAGTGTAATAATAGATGTTCCACGATTACGCGATATTATATTCGCTTTCTAAACATCTGTTTCCGTGAAAAATACCGATCGGCTCTGCCGCTCTCGTCGAGCAAACATCCATTCTGACATAACGTCAAACTATCCTAAATGAAACCGTACAACGTCACGTCATCGTATTAAGCAGCTTTTCAAGCCGTTCTATTCCATGATTAATCTTACAGGGTAGCTTGGTCGTTTTCCATCGGACATTTTCAGAAATGACGTAACCGCCGATCATTAGTTTGCGCTTCCGGTATCACGTAATCCCTAAAACATCGTCCATCATCCTGCCGGACCGGAGAGTCCTGGCGAAGACTTAGCAAGACCCTCGGGCTATCCCATGGAGATCCAGCTAGTCCTCGTTTCCTCGCCCTTCAGTCCGGCACGTGCAATTTGCCCAACTCTGACAAAGCGATTTTGTATTGGTCGAGGCGCCTCGTCCTTACACACACACACATGTCTAGGTAATCCCTTGCATGCATTGTCGCTGGTGTGCACCGTACAACGGCATATATTTTATGCACAGAGCTTGTACAATCGCGTGGAATTACCTTGCAGAGTGACTCTCGTTGTTAACTTTTATACGGCGAAACAAAGAATGCGAAACGAGTTTATAAGCCATTCATTGTAACAAGGGAAAAACAGACTCTCGCAGGAAGAACGTGCAGAGGAAAAATCGGGTACGTTCGCGGGTGAAAGGAATGAGAAACGATTCTCTCCCGACAAAAGCGCCGAGATTTATAACTCGCCTAGGTAATATTGTATCAGGCACTCGCGGCTTTTTTAATTAAAAGTTCCGACTTTTTTTTCATTCTTCAGACTCGAACGTTAACCGTGTTAATGAAGAATGGTCGATGGTCGAAATCTAACAGAGATAATCGATAGTCGAAATATAACAGAGATAATCGATAATCGAAATATAACATCGATAGTCGAAATCTAAAATCGTTAACCATTAATTAAGTGTCTAAAATCGTTAATCGTTAATTAAATGTCTAAAATCGATAATTCACAATTATCGTCTAATTTTACAATCGATACCAGGTCACCAGTCTATCCCTCCACTTGCCAAACATCGAACTGCACACCGAGTCTCCATATACTTTATTGATCAAACCTGGTGCACGATGACGCAAGCAAAGTGTACCACGGTAAAGCTGATCAAGAACAGGAAGATCGAGGCAACTTTGAAACCATACTTTGGCCAGCGCGTTCACGCATCTACATAATCGCGCTCGTATAAAGCCAGTCGTGAATATTTACGTAGCCTACACACGCACATAAACACGTGTATCCGTCGATACATGTGTGTCCGTGCGTGCGTGCGTTTGTATACGTGTGGACCAAAAGCAGAGCAGGAATCTGAGTGATGTGAGCCGATCGTTTAGCGTTTTCCCATAGCGAGCGGATCTGACCCGGGATCGGACCTCGGTCGGTCGGTGGGCCCAAGAAATCGCCCCGGGTAATCACGGCGCTCGTCCTCCGCCCCTGGTACCGTTTCCTCCCCCGCACACCCACCCTTTCCACGCCACGATCCCCACGAAGAAGAACTCGCTGTTAGCCTGCGAGCGCATACATCCTGCTACTCTTCCTTCCCTTTTGTTCCTCGCCCGTGCTTTCTCGCTTTTTTCACATCTCAACACCGCCTCGCCTCTACTATCCGCCACCATCGGGGCCTCTACTCCGGCCGTTTCTTCTTCTCTTCTTCGTCGTCGTCTTGTTCATCTTCCAACGAGGTTGGTCCGATTTTTGCTGCGTCAGCCTTCGTCCATTGTGCCGTTTAAATGAGAGAAACGAACGCGATCTCGGTGAGAAAAAATTCGTTTCCAATTGAACGTCGATTCAGAGAGAAACGTGTCAGGTACGTTCTGTTGCGTTTCAATCGATACGCGGATTTTCCGGGGCGAAAAGCAACGACGATCGGCCGTTTGCTTTTCACCAGCGAACTAATATATTCGATAATGTTTCTTCGCAGAGGAGAGAATTTCCTCGCAACAGGATTCGCAGAATTTTCATTTTCTCCAAGAGCAGCCTTCTCATCCTTCACTCTCGACTTTCGCGGTACCGTCGAAAAGAGCGAAAGAGCCACAGCAGAGGGGAGAGAACGAGGAGAGAACCGTCTCTCTCTCCTCCTCGTGTATACGTATAGCGTCGTACCTACCCCGCGGTATCTTCTCTTTCTCTCTTCCCCGCTGAAGTCAGATCGCCCACGGGCTCCACCAGGCCGTCGTTATTATATGTTATCGCCGTGGAAGGTATGGGAACCGGCCTGAGGGGGCACCGGATACCTACGTCGGTATTTCCCCCTCGTTGTGCCATAACGCACCATCGAGGTACACGAAGAACCGACTCCTCCAGCTCTTGTTCCCTTTCTCCCTCCCCCTTCGCCGCCACAATCTCTTTCGCCCTCTTGCTCTACGTGCTCGTTCCCCCGGCGGCCTTCGTCTTTAGCGTGTGCAACTCTTCCTCCTCCTATCCCTCCCGTCCTTTTTCCAGGGCACTCGTCTATTATATGCTAAATTACGACGACCTTCGGCCGCGCGCACGCAGAACGTGCCGGCTGCTATCGAAAAATACATCAAGACCTCCCTCGGTACCGGATGACACGACCTCGACGAGAGTTGCAGGATTGCAGGGGCGTTTGGGGAGGTTTCGATTGTCTGACGTGATACGCTCAGACCGCTGACAACTGATTAACACTGTCCACCGTGGACTATGCAGGGTGCTTGACGTAGTAGACAACAAAGTAGAATAACAAAAATTGCCAAAATAATGTTTCTTCAATGAAAAATCATGGCTTGACAAACATCCTGTATAATTCGGGACAGTTTGAACTCTGTCCTTTTCTTTTGTATAAAAAGAAGTTTACTTGAAGTGTTATAAAAATATTAAAGAATATTTGTTTAATTATGTTAACTCTGTGCTCATATCTCTCTGGTACTCCGTTTTAGTAAAAAATGAATCTCGCTGTACCTCGAACTAATTTTGTAAAAATTAGACTCGTTAGATTCGTTATTAACTTATCAAAACCTGGGAATGAAATATCTTTCTCATTCTTAAATTTAACATCAGTTTCACTCCAAGTCCGCCGAAGAAAAATTCCACCAAAAATCTCTTATCCCCGTATTAACAAATTTCTCAGAACGTGTATTCTACAAAACCGTGTAAAAACAGGAAATACAACCAGATCAAAGTCGTTCAATTTCCTGTACGTATCAATTACCCAGCGAATAGGGAACAAAGTAACCGAGCCTCGGATATCTCGCTACAAGGATCACTCGCTGCTTACTATTTAAATAAAATCCAATTACCGAGAAACAAGTGTTACAACGTCAATTCATACCTGGGATTAATCGCGTGACAAACATCGCCGTGATGTATATCGATGTTATAAAACCCGCGCCGGTCGTATGTCATTCCATCCAGATATAATTCCCAGATAGACACGTACAAGACGTAGACTCTGAACACGAAGCAACGAACAACGAAACAGCCTTAGCTCTCCCCGCTCAAATGCAACGTGAAACGCGTTTGAAAATGTCACGGGCACTTTCTAAAGCTGAGCCGGAAAAGGTGGCACGATTCGACCGCGGTCATCCACGTATCCGCATCCGTTTAAACGTCCAATGTCGATACGACGCGGCTCACCTTTCTGTCATCGTCGAGAAAACCCGTTCCTCCGGTTATTTTTAGTCGAGAGTAATTCGTTTCTCTCCCCGAGTCCTCCCGTGTCCTCCGTCCTTTCTCCGTCCAGGACGATCCAGGAGAGAGGTGGAGGCATTCGTTCCGCCAGCTTTCACGAAAATGATAGCGCGAGCTCGCGTCTGCATTCTCCTCCGGCGTGGCAGCCACCGCAATAAAGAGATGAAACTCGAAGCCGACGATGACGATAATCGATCCCGTTGCCACGGGATTAAGCGATCGAAATCGCGCTCGTAATAAGCAACCCTCTCTAGAGATATTTTAATAGTCGCGCTCGCGCACAATTTCAGATCGTATCGCGGCATTATTTCGTGTCTTCGTTCCACTCGACAGTTACTCTCCGTTCGAGTTACCGTTTTTTACCAACCGTTCCTTTAACCCCTTAACACTTGTCACCGTCTGTCGTCGAACGGAACATCGTCAACGTAGATTACATCGAGTTTCACGTTGAAAACACGACCACTTCCTCGTTCCCTCGAAGAATCGTAATTTTGCGATGCGAGATATTTAGGTCAAAATTTATACGGAAATTATGCCAGGTAACCAGGAAGCCTCACGTTTCAAGTGTCTCCGAATGGTTGGAAATTTAAAGGACACACGCGACGCGTCGCACGTCCCATCGTCGAAACCGCCACTTTTCCATCGCCGAGGCATTACGAGGTGGTTCCGTGAACAAATTTCCATTACATTTTCATTAATCCAATAAAATAATTGCCGGACGAGACGGGCGCCCTTTAGTTAGGCGGCTCGTCGAGCCGTGACAAAATGCACGTTTACGACGTGACGTTAATCGATCCGTCGCGTCGCGTCGGTGACCGTGAATTAAAGCGAGCCAGGGAGGCGACTTTGTTGGGAGAAAAGAAGAAGGAAAAGGTTCTCCAAGGAGAGAGAACAGCTGCTACGGAAGACGACGTAGTGACTGGAAGCGATTTTTGGGCAGGTGACCCGGAATATCGGCACCTGCCTCGCCTCAACGAGACCTCGTCAATGCGAAAGCGTAATTTATATGTCGCTGCGCGCACAAACGCCCCTGTACACGGTATACCCCCCCTACAAACCCTCGAGTAACCGCTTCACGATTTATCGGCCGAATCGATCAGCGAGATTTAAAAAGCACCGCGGACGTGTGTACAAGCTTACAAACGACATCGGTTTGTCCGAGAAATTGAGAGGCAAGCCGACGCTGCAAGCTGATTTCACCGACGCTCGATCAATCGTGCGGGTGTAAGGACGAATTTGTTTTTCCTTTGGTAGTTGGAAATTCGAGGAACACGTTGAAATGTTCGATTTATACGTTGAGGATGTGTAAATTAATCACCGTAACGAGAAGATTAAAGAGACACTGGCCTGATTGTTTTTCCACAGCCGCTAGAAGAGGGAAACTAAAATCGCTAGAAACCAACTATGGGGACTATCACCTCTGCGCACGTTTAAATCTTACAACGCATTGACTTGTTATATATTTAAGAGTAGATTGTAAATTTGCGGTACTGTTAAGAAAAAAAGAAAGGATATATCGATAATGATAATTATTATTTTACACGTGCATATATTCACTATAAGTGTTTGCCCACGCATTTATTCGCGGTATTCCGTATTTCAACGAGCTACTTCATTTAACCAGTTTCTAAAGAAGGAGTCGAGAGTTTCGCGATGCTTATTTAAAAATAACATTTTTCGAAAAATTTGTCAGATTTTTGCACGAAGAGAGAAAAGTAGATGGGCAAATACTTATTAGCGGTACATAACACAAGTTTTTTTTAATTTTAAAGAAGACGAAAGATCAAAAGCTCCGTTATCTAAAAGAGACATTTGTATTGGAAAGAAATTGAAAAGTGTGGCTAAATCTGTCGATAGAATTATAGTATGACATAACAAGTGAGATAGAGGAAATTTGCTAAATTTGAAGATGGAATATTAAAATGCACTCTAAAGTCCTTCGAACAAATTTTCAATATTAACATTTTCATTCGAATCAAACATCAGGAAAATATTTTCGTTTGCTTCCAGGTATCCAGAATCGAGATTAGCGAAATTGTTCAACGGCAGCATCCCCATCGTGCTGGACTCTCTGAAACAGCACTACTTCATCGACAGGGACGGTGGCATGTTCCGGCACATCTTGAATTTCATGAGAAACTCTCGTCTACTGATACCGGACAACTTCGCCGATCTGGATCTGTTGCTAGAAGAAGCACGATACTTCGATATCGCACGTAAGAGAGAAACTTCTGTGTATCTTCGATCGTTCTACCTTCGATACGCTTTAATTCCATGCAATTAACTCCGCTAAATGACTCGGTTCGATCGTTTAACTCGACTCGATAACCGTTAAGTTCGAACAAAAAAAAAGGGTATTTAAATTTTTGCCAGAGTCGGTATTACTTAATCTCGCGAAAAAATCTACACGATTTGCCGGATACCAGACGGACAACTTCCTCTGGCTTCTGTTACGTATGAGGGAAAGGGAGGGCGAAAGATCACGGTTCACCGTCGATAAATCATGTTATCTCCAAGGCAGAATCTCTCCTCGGATCATTTTTCCTGCCATTAACCACTAACACCAGCAGCGCTGCGATATTCACATTATGTTGCATTAAAAGCAGCAATATCTTGATGAACGAGAGAGTAACGGCGAAAGCCAACCGAGACTACACTCGCGAAATCCCAATGGCTACTCTGTGTATCGTTCGATCGCGATCACGTCTTCGGTTTCCACTACTCGTTATCGAGAAAAATGCAAACAGAAGCGCTGTTGATGTTTTAATTGATATCCACAAATTCGGTAGCCCAGTGAAAGAAATCCTGACTATTTTCTTTTTAAAAAAATCCCATCGTCAATTTTTACCGAAATGAAACTGAGGCAGTGGAAGCACGAATGAAGACACTCTTGAAATATCAATTTTATCATATGCATAATTTTATGTATTCAAATTCGCGTGTTTATCTAAAGAAAAACATTTCGAATAAAAATACAACCCTTTGCCTACAAAACGATCCAAGAAAAATTCGAAACTAATTCAATTTCCCAATTCTGCACAATTCCCGACACTTGGATCTCCCCTTAGATCCTCGTCCCTCGAGAACACCGTATCAAAGAACATCCCCGTTCGCCTAACGAAACTTCAACCTCTCTTGCAGCAATGTGCAGGCAACTGGAGCAAATGAAAAAGGAGCGTATAAAGAACGGTTCGACGACGATGACCACAATGTCCTCCTCGTCGCCGAGTCCTCCGCCCGGCAATCAATTAGACAATCGCGGAACAGGTTGCGCAACGGCGCCGTGCAACCGGGATTCCGACAAACTCCGTTCTAACGAAGGAAATTGCAACTACGAGTGCGTCGCTCTCCACGTCAGTCCAGACTTAGGCGAACGAGTGATGCTGTCCGGTGGTCGCGCGTTGCTCGACGAGGTGTTCCCGGAAACGACCCAGGCTGTGATCGACGCTCGATCAGGCGTCGCATGGCATCAACAGGACGCCCGTCACGTAATTAGGTTCCCGTTGAACGGCTACTGCAAGCTCAACTCCGTGCAAGCGATCACCAGGCTTCTGAACGCCGGTTTCCGCGTGGTAGCAAGCAACGGCGGAGGTGTCGAGGGTCAACAATTCTCCGAGTACCTGTTCGTTCGACAGGCCATCAACACTTGACGGAACACCGCACACCAGCGGTAAGCTAGCTCGCGTTATATATGATCCCGTTGCCTGCAACGCGCGACCACCAGGACGAGTGAGCTGTCACAGGAGAACACTTGAAGACTGCGTCACGAACGATGATGATCCGTGTGGTTCACGGCGGTGAGGGGGAAGTGTTGAAGCTGCCACGGAACAGAGATATCGTAACTGTACATTGATTCGGGAGATTACGACGGTTTTATCGACACGGAGGAGAGTGTATAGTTGGTGGAAGCGATTCGGCGAGAGGACGTAGAATCGGACGAAGCGGTAGTTTTGAGGGAGGTAACGTGTTCGTAGTGTTAAAAGGCATTTTTGTCTCTCGTTTCTATACGCTTCGTGGGTTACACTTTAAATTTGGAAATATTAAGAAGGAAAGAATATTTTTTTTTTAATACTTTAGATTCTTAAAGATCATTGTGTTTAATTTGGCAAATAGTCAGAAAAAAGGAATACTGTTTGAGTATTCAAAGGAGTATTCAAAGGATTGAAATGGAGGATTCTGTGTGATCTCACAGCCCAAGATTAAAAAATGCATCTGTGGGTCCCGAATGAGTTTCACAATATACCGAACTACTATTAATTCAGGTGGGGGGTATAATTGACCCTAAAATCCACGAACGTGATAAGGATTTCGTGCTTCGTTTAGGGCTGTTGGATATCAACTTTTAAAATGAAAAAATTTTTAATATTAATTTCTACTACTGCTTCAATGAAAAATTGTGAGCATAAATTTTAAGTATCAATTAACGCATAGTCCTGGGCGTGGCTAAATCGGTAACGCCCCTTAGTGCGTTAATTTACGACCTCGCTATATCGCTTCCGCCAACTATACTCTCTCGCGAAACAAGGTTTCCTTAGTTCAAACAAACGGCGATCTTGATGTTGAACGAAGAGTATTCTAAATAAAATTCTGCGTTAATTTCTATTTAAAGATTTTCTATTCTGTGATGTGTGTTTCGTGGTTTCAATTCTGTTTAGGGACCATCGCTGTGAGTTACGAATTTATTGTTCGCGAGACTCTACGGTAATATTAAGAGGAGAAACGATGTGGTTAGATTTGCAGGGTATACTTATACATTTTGACTGCAGTTACGGTGGTCGTTTAACGCGTGTTTAACTTCAAACTGTGACTTACCGAAATAAAGATTTCAATTCTGTGTAAGTGAAACGAGAAAATGATCGTTGATATTCTCGAAAATTGTTAAAATTGGTCTCGAATTTGTTTAACAAAAAAGAGAAAAGAAGTACACACAGTACGTCAAATTTGATTTCGTTAATTTACGATCCTAAAAACTTTTGACGAATCGAGTGCCTTGAGTTGTAAGGATATTAAGTCACAGAAGTTCGACCGTGCGTAACGTGACGGAATTACAACTGGCGCCCGCCTGTAACATCCTGATTACAAGTATTACCGTTAAGATCGTTTCAATATCTTTATGAAAATTCGGCTGAGAAACATAATCATCGCAATTATGTGTGTGTGTGTGTGTCGTCGAACGGTATCATCACGCACGCTCGTGACCCACTTATTGCATATAAGTACGTCGGGTGCGCCGCTCCTTACTTTGTTCTTATTTAATAAGGTGTACCTATATGTATTTAAATGCCATACTAATTACTGTAAATACCGCGAATAAACG